GTCTTCTTAATGTGAGTGATGAAGTGGTGAAGTTTCATGGTGATATCCATGAGTTCATGTGTTCACCTGTAGAGTCTTCACTCTCACAGTCAACATTTATAACATTTCACACTGAACATGTGCAGCTTTGGTTCTTTCTCTTTGTTAAAACAGAAGAACAATTGAATTGAATAAAAATCTGAGCACAGATGGTGAAGTGGTAAATACCGCCCTCTGTGCACGAGCCTGAAGGTCTCTACTCTCTCAAGTGTTTTTATGATGTGTCCTAGTAAAGTAAAAACTAAAAAATGTAATAATTGAGATTTTACCTCGATGAACGATGTCGTGTTTATGGCACCAGTGAATGGCTCTGATTAACTGGTAGATGTAGCTGCGCGCTTTGTCAGTCGGCACCCCGTTGGGTAACTCCTCGAGCAGCTCCAGCATGTTCTGAAAGAGAAACACAAACGACAAAGAGAACGACCACGTTAGGCGACGGTGACCTCTGAACCCAGAGCAGTTTTCTGGGTGTTTTTCTGCTCCCATCACATTTTACTCACAGTTTGTTATTACAATATTAAAGTCCTGCTCCTGTCCTCTCTCCTCTCCTCTCTCCTCTCTCCTCTCTCCTCCTCTCCTCTCCACTTCCTGCAGTTCAGTCAAAGTTTCTCTGATTTGTTGTCACATGACTGTTGGTCTCAAGAGAATCAATCATGTCTTCATAGTTGCATTGATGAGCTCAGAATTTAATGTTTTTTACAGAATCTGTTTAAAGGAAACGGTTTATTTGTGGCGATATTTTTATTATAACGGTGTTGTTTTGGCGTGTTTTGGGGTTCAGAGGGTTGAAAGAAGACGAGGCTCACCTTCTCCACATACTCAAAGACGAGATACAGTTTCCCTCGTCGTCTGAACGCCTCTTTCAGCTCGACGATGTTCTCCTGTTTGAGGGTGCGGAGCATCTTGAGCTCCCGCAGCGTCGTTTCTTTGACCTCCTCATTTTCTGATTGGACGTGACACAGAAGGCGGAGTCAGGATCATCGTGTGGTGATGAAGACGGGATGAAGATGATGAATTTCTTTGTCGTCCACTTACCTTCGCTGTCCTTGAATTTCTTTATGGCCACGATTTCATTGGTGTCCTGCAAAATAAATTAGAGAAAATCTATTAATGCTGGATCCCGACCAACTACCAGGATCCTTTGGACCCAGAGCGTAGTCTGACAGGCAGAGGACCAACTATGAGGATCCTTTGTACCCAGAGCAAAGTCTGACAGGCAGAGGACCAACTACCAGGATCCTCTGGACCCAGAGCGTAGTCTGACAGGCAGAGGACCAACTACCAGGATCCTTTGTACCCAGAGCAAAGTCTGACAGGCAGAGGACCAACTACCAGGATCCTCTGGACCCAGAGCATAGTCTGACAGGCAGAGGACGTCGTGGAAAAGAAGTTCAGACCGGACTAGTTGATGAAGTCTAAACTACTGTTCCCCAACTCTATTCTTATTCTATACTTAATACCTTTTGGTGTGCTGTACTGGAATCAGACAGAGTTCGATGCAATAGAGTTTATTCTCGCGAAGAACACAACCCGAGGTTCTCGGACAATGACTGACTTATTCTGTTCTCACATAGTCTTATATAGGGTGGCTGACACCGGATTTGCCCTTCTTAGCTCTTCATCTGTTTTCCTTTAAAATCCCAGGTGTGTGTCTTTCCTGTCATGTGGGTGTGAGTTATGTTCGTATGGTTTCTAATGTGTGTATTGCATGTGCCAGTGTGTCATGGTCAACTTTGTCTTTCTAGTTGAAAGCCTTTCCCTGGTGCCGCCTTGCATAACGCGACTCTTCTTAGTTCAGACCAGCTCTCCCTCTCACAGCACCAGGGCCTTCTCTTGCATTCTCCATGACAGTCTCACCGTCCGCCTGCCAGCCTGTGTAGTAGGAACGCCATCTCGCTCTGCACCTGCTACCCCTCAGTAGTTTATCTACAAGAGACTCCGATCCTTTCTCAGGCTGTATGTTGACCTATTCAGACCATCACACTATATTCACTCGTTCTCAATATGCGGATGTCATATAAGTGAGTTTCAAACATTTAGATATATTTAAACAAATAGATATAGTTGATGGTGCTATTATGATAAATCAAACTCCAACAAGGACCAACCACCAGTGTTAAGAATTCTGCAAAAACAATCTTTTGTAACTTGTTTATAAGCACGAGTGACACGAATCAATCGCAGCAAACAAAGAACCAAGAGACACTTCGTCCTCCCTCCGTGGAGTTGTCTCTGTGAGAGACGCCTCCCGCCACTAGCCCCGTTTCTCAACATGTCCTAGTTAGGCCCGATGGCTCGATGGCCGTGCTCCAGTCCCCCCCCAGCATCGCACCACTCCACCGTGGATCACAGTGAGCAGTGAGCTCCTCCTCACAGCACCGAGGAACACAAGATGACTCGCAGCAGGGTCAGCTTCTCCAGCGTCACTCGCTGAGTGAAAGGAGACGGAGCGCTGCACTAATGGAGGGAATCACAAGACGACCAGGAGCTGCAGCTCACTTCAACTCACCAAGAACAGAAGTCTAGAATATTTTGTGTTCATCGAACTCCTTACTTATGTATGCATCTCTAATACTAACTCTTTATTTAGAAATACTAAGTCTTTATTCTGAGATATTTAATCTTTATTCTGAGATATTTAATCTTTATTCTGAGATATTTAATCATTATT